CCCAGCCACCGTGTCGACCCTTCCTTTCCATATCTTCCCTCTCCCTATTTGCGCTTTCCCCCTCCTTCTGCCTGTGCACTTGCCTCTGTTCCCTTCCTCTCTGCCACCACTTATCTTCCATGGCTCCAGCTCCAGCCCTGTTCTGGGCCTGGTCACAGAGCACATTTACTCATAGTTTCATAGGTTTGGAAGGGGCCTAAGTAGATCATCAAGTCTGACCCCCTGCCATGGGCAGGAAAGAATCCTAGGGTCAAAAAACCCTGGCTAGGTGATTATCTAGCCTCCTTCTGAAGATGGCTACAAAAGGTACCAGTTAGCCAATGTGAACAAGGCCTCACTGGGATCCTGGGACAGCCTCCCTTAACATTATAATAGTTCCATCAGGAATGGCAAGTGAGGAAAAGGGAGGGTACCCCAGGGAGCCAGAGTGGGGGGCAGGAGCCATGTGGCCATGAGGGGATGCCATGGCTGTCCCTGGGGCATGGTCCTGCTATAGGAGATATGTGGCTAGGGGCAGGTGCCACAGGGGTGCAGGCATGGGGGCAGGTACTAGGGGGGCAAGTACTGGGGCAGATACTGGGGGTGGGGAGCAGGCAATGCGGTTGGGAGCCCAGGAGCCAGGATGCGCAGGTACCAGCAGGGCAGGTAGCAGGGGCCAAGTGCTCAGGCCACTTAACTCCCTTGACACCTGGCCCCCACACCTGGGAAAGAAGGACTGCTGGAGACTAACAGACAGACACCCAGGGGAGCTGTGATGAGAGGGCTTTAAGCAGGGCCACACCTCCTCTCCCCCTACAGCTGCTTCCCCTGCTTCAGCAGTGGGGGGAAAATTCAAGATGATCTCCCCAGTAACTAAATTCTATACATGGAAAGTTATAACACATCTCTAAACGTCTATGTCTAGAATCTAATTATTGGGTGGTTGTCTTAAATTTCAAGTCATCTTTGGGTAAATATGGTATAAAACTTGCTGCAGAAGAGAGCCTCAAAGAAGTGGAGAAGAAGGGAGCTGTTGGTAAATCAGTAATCATTCCCACTAGCCAGCTGAGCTGGTTAGTTTCAAAGGTGAGGACATGCCGCATGCCCTCATAGATTTCATAGCCTATAAGTATATAAGGGGTGTGCATCAGGAACTAGGAGAACATCTGTTCACTAGGGTATCCCAAGGGAAGACAAGGTCAAATGATAATAAACTGCTGGAAGACCATTTTAGACTGGACATAAGGAAAAGCTTCTTTACTGTCTGAGTCTCCAGAGTCTGGAATAGACTCTCCCTAGAAGTAGTGCAAGCACCTACTTTGGACACCTTTAAGAAACACTTGGATGGTAATCTTGCTGGGGTGATCTGACCCCAGCTGACTTCCTGCCCCAGACCTAGTGTCTATGAAATCTGTGACAGTGTTAATTGCCACTGCTCCCCACTGCCAAATTTCTGGACCTGTAGGAAGCCCCACAGGCCAGGCCTGAGATGACACAGGTCAGCGAGCTGAATTTGGCCTGTAGGCCAGAGGTTGAGCATCACTGCATTGCATCATCATAGGCACACAACTGCATCCCCTGGTTATACAACTGTGTACTAAAAAACTCCCTGTAAGTTAAAGGCTCAATTCTGAGATTGAGAGCATCATAACTCTTCCTTGTTATTTGTTGACAGTCTCAGAGTTTCTAGGTATCACCATGTACCAGGTACCACAGGCACATATACTTGTCTGTGGTACAATGTAACTGGAAGCCTTCCATACAGTATTACTTACAAGAGGTAAATGGAGAATCTGAAGGGAGCATGACCACATAAGTGTCATCTTCCTCTGCCTCTTCTTCTTGATCACTATTTTCACCATCTGTTGCATTAATCTGGGGAAAAAAATCAAGTATAGAACACTTTTTAGTGGTATAATCCGTAAGTATATTAGTGCAGCATTATCAAGAAAGCCATTACACTGGGAAAAAAGCTAGTTCTATGTAAAAATGTTCTCATTTGATATTCTGCAGAGGTCTGTTCTCTATCAATACTTATGCTATGGCTAAATTCCTTAAAATCCTTCTAAGGAGAAAACAGGGACAGAGTGAGCTCTGTTTAGTGCATGCCCATGCATACTGAAAAACAGAACATCAAAGGTGTGTCTGTAAAGCACAGTGTAACTTAACCTAACTTAGCTCATGCAGAGGTATGGATGAGGAAGACTGGCAAATATTACTGGACCTTTTCTGTCTTAGGCTCTTCTCAGAGTGAAGGAACTCTTATGAAGAGCTCTGTACCTTAAACTCTTCAGTTCATTTGTTAACTGGACCTGCATCTCTACATCCCTATTCCAAGGCAAAGAAATAGTTATAGGTCCCCTCTATACCAGTAAACATGTGAGCCAATCGTAGCTATATTGCATCTTGTACCCAACTTTGTTTGGGCAATCTAGCTCAGGTATCACTGCACTGCATTTCACTGTGATAGAGTCTAATTGTGACTTATCTTAAGTGGGGTAAGGAGAGAAAGAGATGAGCCGAGGAACTGTAAGACATTCTGGGATTGTCGAAAAGTGGTCAAGATACAGCAATTGATGGAGATCTCATTACAAATAGTTGCCAATTAAGTCTGATTATACTGTTAGCTCCCGTGTAATATTTAAGTGATTTTGTTTTGTCTGTCTGAAAATAAGCATTTAAACTCACAAATCTGCACTTTTCAAATTAACTTCAGTAGAAAGAGATTCAAACCTACAGGGTGTGTCCAGACGAGTGTGCATGTACCGAGGTGCGCGTTTCCTGTGGGGCAAACAGCAGCAGCTCAAATATGTTTGTCCCAGGGCAAAGTTGCTCCAGTGCACAGCAAATTGACATGAGTGGGGTAGGGGAGGCTGAGGCCAGCACCTGGGCTGGCCCCAGCAGCCTTACCTGGGGTCCTAGGGGCCTCTCTGGGCAGCAGCAGTGTTGAGCTGGTGGCTTGAAGCCTGGCTGGCAGCTAGAGGATGGTTTCGGCTGTCCAGGCTTCATTTCTGGTGGTGCACGCTGCTGCTGCATGTGCTGAGCTGCTTTCTTTCTTACACTGGGAGCTAATTAGCAGCATGGTGAATGGGTACATGTGCACTGCGTGCAGTTTGCAGTGCTTCAAACAGGTTTGAGGTGCTGCAAACTGCATGTGTGCGCTCATCAGGACATGCCCATAGTATCTTCAGCAACACTTTTTCATTGCTGTGTTTCTGTTAGTGGACCAACCCAGAAGCAACTGCTAATCCATTGTTACTTAAGGGGGGTAGGATTATAGTCAATTTTGGTAGGTGTAACAGGAAAAATGTATCCCTATTTTAAGGGCTGACTGTCAAGAAGCTACATATGCAAATGTGTCTATACCGCATGCAGACAGATATGCCTAGTACATACATACTAGGTATGCCTGCATGTTCATTAATGCGCTTTTGCTATTGTGCATTAAATTGAGTACCTCTAATGTGAGGTACTAACTAATTACTCACTAGGCTGCCCTAAGGAGTATTATTGTGGTTTTTGCTGTGATGCTCTAATGGGCAGTAAAATAGGCTACTGAGCATTAAAGGACAAGTGTAGATGTGCCCACTGCTATTTAGTAGGTAGTGCATAAAGCAGATCTGTTAAGAGTTGCAATATCTCTTTAGAAGCTTCACAGTAGATTCTGTTCCCTGGAAACTGCATTATGAGGTTATGCTTAAAATGAAAAATTGAATCCTCAATAAAAATGGATCAGTCTTCAATCCTGAAAGGGAGTGTTTACTCCTGGGGTTGATTTCTGCCTACAAAACAATGTCCCTACCAACACAAAAGAAGGAATTTAATGGCATGCCCCATTTATCCTTTAGCTTGTAAGGATTCATAGTGAGCATATTCACAGATTAGAAGGTCAGAAGATCATATAGTCTGATCTTCTGTCTAATATAGGCCACATACTTCCTTGAATTAATTCCTGTTCGAACTACAACATTTTTAAAAAAGAAAGTCAACTTGTTAAAAATTGTCAGTGGTGGACAATTTATTACAGTGCTTGGTGTATTATTTCAATAGTCAAATACTCTTAATGACAAATTGTACTTTAGTTCTAGTCTGAATGTATGTGGTTTCAACTTCTAACTACTGAAATTTGTTATATCTTTTTCTAATAGACTGAAAAGCATCCTTTTCAAATCTAATTATAATCTAAAGATACCTGTGTAGCAAACAAGCTAACCTTTACGTGGTTAAACAGATTGAGCTGCCAGGGTTTCTCATTATAAACCCTGCTTGCCAAACACATAATAATTTTGGCAGCTCTTCTCTGAACTTTCTCCACTTTCAAAATTCTCTTGGAGTGTAGATCCAAGATTGGATACTATTCCAGTAGTGATCATACCAGTACCAAATGCTGAAGCATTAAATTTTTAGCCATCAGCAAGTCTGACTGCAGAGGAGGTTTGGCCAGTAATCACTTAGAGCAAGTTAGTGTAGAAGTCTAGGGACAGAGGTTACACATAAACCAATTTAAGTGATCAGAAATTGGTTTAAACCTGTAGCAGAACAGAAGTTCAGTGTACATAAACCAGTTCAAAATGGCTGAAACTGGTTTAAGATAAACCTGGCTGAATGTAGCATCAGACTAAACTGATTTGGGTCAAACCAGTTTATGGAACTTCTGTCCCAGACACTTTCTAGTTTAAGTTAAATCGGAGTCCCCCAGCATCCCAGCATGCTGCCTGCTCCAGAGAGCAGAGCTAGCCCTGCCCCTCTGCTCCCAGCCAGGGTGGGGGCATGGCCAGATGCTGGACAGCATGACCCGTAAGGCAAAGGGGCAGGGAGGGGGTTTATTGCCTCCTTTCCCTCTCCCCCCAGAGGACTGCAGCTGGGATATGCCTGCCCAGGGCAGAGTAGCCCCTGTTAGGATCCCCCCTACCCACTCCAGTGGCAGGGGTGGGGGCATAGCCAGACTCTGGCTGGTATAGCCCTGCTAGCTGCCTGCCTTGCCTGGCACTAAGTTCATCATGCCTGCAGCTGCCTGGGCCGACTTGGAGGCGCTGGCGGGCTGGAGCCCAGCAGCTACCTGCTGTG